TTGTGCATGCAAAATGTGCATTAATGCCTGCAGTCTTTAGGGGTGTAATGACAGTTCTCTGTAGTTTGTTTCTCGGGCAGTATTACAATAAATACTGTAAACTGAAAGGTTCTGCAAGGAACCATGCAAAAAAAAATACCCAGAAAATAATGTTGCGGTTTGAGATGCTGATAAATTGATGTAGAATCTCTGCATAGAGTGTGTGAAAAATCAGGATTATTTTGTGTGCATTTTGGGGGAGAGGTGGGAAGCTTCATTTCGCCTTATAGGCATTATCATTTCAAGCATCCCATGAGATCATCAGGTCAGCGATTTGCAAAGTATTTAGCCAGATCAGCTTCTCTGGAAATGGTTCCTATACTTTATTTTTGGGACTTTTTTGTTACTCAACTGCTTGAATACTTGAATAAACCATTCTCCAGGACAAAATCATTTTAATCCTCTTAAACACAGTGGTCTGAACTATTTGACAAAGTTGTACAGGGCTTACACATCAAAATATTGTTTCAGTGTTCGGATAACCATGTGTTTCCTTTACTTTGACAGAGTAATGTACTTTTTACCTTATTTATCTGTATGAAATTCCAACAGTTAATTTGAAAGTGTTTGTTTATATAATGTTTGTATTTTTAGGTCTTTAATACGGTGTTTCTACCTCTCCTTTGTAATTGCATGCATTATTCTTGGAACTAGGTAATAACTCACTGAACTGTTGCGTAATAGCCTTTTTATTATGGCCTGTATAAATGTATATTAAGGTAAAAATAAATACTGACACTAGAAGTGTTTCTATGGTACAACTTGAGTTTCTTGTGTCTCTGTAACCAATGGTGTTAAATTCAGGGAGAACAGTCTGTACTTGGCTGGTTAAACCAGTTGCTGAATGTTCCCCTCAGCAGCTGGAGCTGCCACCAGGGCAGGATGGGGCAGCATCCTTGAGTTCCTTATCTCTGGGTAGCTCTGGCACAGAGTGTCCCCGAGTTTGTTTTCCCTGGCTTTAGGAAAACAATTTACCCTGCTTCTTTCTTTTTTAATTATTTTTTTTTTCCTTAACTTGGGCTTGAAAACGAAAATGCTAAGTAGGATCCTGGGTAACAGCTGTATGTTCTTTCAACAAGGTGCTTATTTGTTGCCTCTAGCAAAGAGAAGCTGTCTGGGCTGCCAGAACAGCCTATACAGAGCTAATTGACAAAAACTGGCAGGAAGTTACAATTTCTATCCACAGCTTACCAAAAATGGGCTTTGTTCACCTTAGAGCTGATACCCTCTCCCCAGCTGAGTGGTGCTGTGGTAGCTGCTAATGTGGCCGTTGTATTTCTTAGTTGTACTATCAAAATTTTCCCAATTTATTACTGTGGCTGGCACATAAAGAGGATGAGGAAGGAGTGAGCAGGGAATGCTAATGACATGTCTGAACCCAAATCTAGGAACAAAGCAACAGCCTCAGTGCACAAGACTAGGAGGTAGGCTGCTTTTCCCAGGAACTCACGGGTTTTTGTTGGTTTTCTTTTTTTTCCTCTCAGGATTCAAGCTCATTCTCCTTCCCTTCTTGCCAGCAAGACTCCAGCTGCACAAACAGGAGGAGGAGAAGAAAAGGGCCATTCTTGCTGGCTGTTTTCAGGAGGAGGAGACCAATGTTCATGGCCTGTCTTTCTGCATAAACTCATTCCACAAAGATCCTGAAGCTGTCCTCTGTCTCCGGCTCCCCGCGCTAAACAGCAGGTGCTTGTTTTTACCAAATGCTTTTTTTTTTTTTTTCCCCAGCCTTTGAAAGATAGAACTTGAAAGGAGATATTTGATGTGCTTTTCTAGTTCAGCTCTCCAGCATCTCCTCAAGCTCCATGTTCTGTACTTGTTCCTCTCTCTCCATAGTGTATAATGTCAGCTCAGGAATCTAAAACACATTTTGACTCTGACATTTGCTGCTCTTTTATAAGCAGGTTGAACTCTCAGCCCTTCCTCTGATGCAGAGAATGAAATCTAGTTAATTTGACTTGCAACTAACACGCTACAAGTTACTCCAAGAAGCATTTTTGCTGTGTGAGTTGTTCCTGGGACTTGCTACCTTCTGCATAGTTCTTGCTACTTGCTTGTACAGCTCCATCCAGGTATTGCTGTGTCATCTCAAGGTTCAGAGGAAAAAACTTGTGACTCACCCTGTTGTGGTGCTGTGCTCAGCTGCACCCAAAAGTGAAGCTTACTTTTCGTCTGGAGCAAGGAAAGCTGGATCCTGCTGCTTCCAAAGCTTTGAAATTCAGATAGGCTGGCTTGTGACCTGACTTGTGACCCACCTCCTTTTTGTTTCCTGTTTCCTCTCCTTTTTTTTTTTTTTTTAATTTAAATTCTAATCCTTTGACTTTTATGTCTGCTCTGAGCTTTGCTTGCTACTATCGTTTTTTGACTGTCCAGGACACCTTTTAAGTCTTTAAGCAAATCTCCTTTTATCCTGAACTTCCCTGTCCGACCTGAGCCATAGCCCTGGCTGTGGCTTTTTCCAGAGTGCTCCCATAGCTCCTCCTTTCTGCAGAGGAGTGAAGTCTATCCGGGTAACCCCTCTCCTGAGGTCTCTAAGTCAGCTGGAGCCCGGTGGAACTAAGCCTTGGCACTGCTCCTTTGGACAAACACCTTTTCAATAGGCTTTTGTGCACGGCAGGCTCCCCCCTCCTCTCTGCCTGAAAGCAAACCGAGTGCCAGTGGGGCTGTTGAGTCTTGTTGCAGTCCTTGTGCCAATCATTCCCATTGTTTCTTTGTGTCGCTTTTCACATTTTCCATGGCCCCAGCTATGTCTACAATGCAGCCCACAGACCACGGCTCTGTAGGACACAGTATCTCCTTCTTGCCACTCTGAGATCAGCCACAACTTTCAAAACAAGTGATGCCATAAATGAACTGAGCTCTATTTATTCCTGCAGGTTCCTTAAAACCTCTCCCTGTTGTTCATCTTCTGTGCCCGCTTTTACGCTTGAGTGCTGTTTGCGCTTTGTATCTGCCCATCTTGTGCCACTGGGCGGATTCTGTGACTTCTGGAAAACACTTGGAATTGAGGCTAGGCAGACATTTAAGCAGAAATTGAGGATTGTCAGCCTAGCTGAAAACTTACAGTTCTGTGAGCGTGGTGTGCAAGCTAAACAAATATTTATTGATTAGCTGTGGTTTTTGGTGGACTTTTGAAACCAAATACTGCACAGCTTATCTTCCAAACCAAAGTCCTCCTTCCCCAGGGCTCTGCTGGGTGATTTTGAGAGCAGGGCAAGGACCAGCACAAACCCCAGGGCAGGGCAGAAGCCTGTCTCATTGCAGTTAATCGACTCTGAAAGGGGAGCAAGGCCTTCAAGGAATGAGGGGAGTCTCAAGCTCAGCTGCTCAGTAAAACCTCTCTTGTTGCTGTAAGTACAGCCCTGGGGATTAGAACCCCCCCAGCACTGCTCACCTCCTGATTCCTGTGGAGTTCCATTATTTACCCGTAAATAGTTCTCTTTGTTGTTTCTTAGTGACTGAGTAAAAATAGAGAACACTGCCAGCTCCCAGGCGTGGGGAGCACACTGCAGACCACGTGTCTCACAGGTGCTGTCTGGGGTACTCCTCTGTCTCACTCCAGATCCCACACTCAGCTGCTCCAGGGAGACTCAACTAGTATTTTGCAACACTTAAAACTACCCTCAGCTTTGTTTCCTGTCCGTAACTGGCTGAAAGTTGTCCCTGACAAGGACCAAAAGGGACTGTCTCCCAGGATGCTGTCTCATTTCTGTGGAAGTGTGGCACAGGCCCAGCCTGCTGAACCACTAGGATAACTGGGAGCTGGGATGTTTGCTTCCCATGTGTGATGCCAAGCACAAGAAGCGCTGTTGTGACATGAAACCCTCAGGCTGAAGGCTGAGAATTTTACAAGCTCTGGAGAATGGCCACTGTGGAAAATGTAGGTAAATATCCATCTCCCTGCTCCTGCTGACATCCTGGGCTGGTGCATTGCAGCACTGTTTCCCCAGGTAATAATCACACTGAGAGCTCAGACTTTTACTCTGGTTGCAGTAGCATTAATTCCTTATCTGATTTCTCTTGGACCTCCAGACATCGTGGTGCCTGGACAGAGCTCTGACCTGCCCTGCAAGGATGCTGACAGGATCAAGGACAGCATGTTTGCATCAAGTAATGCTCCTGCAGAGAATGTTCTACTTCTACAGATTTCTTCAATGCAAACCCATCTTTCCATACATTACCTGGGAGAACCCTGTCAAGCCCAGCTCGTTTTTCTCTCCTGTGTTGCCTCCTGCACACAAGTACTGGCAGTTGCTCATGTCATTCTTCCCCACAGCTGGGTGTTTGCTGCTGAGATTTGTGCAACAGCTTGTGAAATGTTCACACTGAGCCACAGCCTGGGAGATGTTAGGGAGGCCAACTGACCACAGCTGGTGTATGGGGGGAGTTGTGGTTCAGCACAACTTGCTGAGCTAAAGGGCACTCCCAGTCATTGAGAGCTGTGTTGAAAAGGAGATGAAAGTTGTCAGGGGAAGGGGTGCTCCATTCTAGGAGCCCTGTGTGTCAGAGATGTGGTGGGCAAGGATTTTGTAGGGAAAAGCTCCAGCTGAGGAGCATTGGCAATAAATGGCCTGGTTAAAGGTAGCGTGGCAATAAATAGCCTGGCACTAAAGGTAGCGTGTAACAACCTGCAAGTAATTTTTAAATAATCCCCGTGCACTTCTTAGAACAAGTTGTGGCAGGTCTATTTTTAAGCACCCAGCCTTGTCTCAGCTCCATTCTCTGCATATTTTTTGGCTCGGTTCCCACGCAAGTGCTGTATCAAGGTTAATTCGACTCTCCTGGCCGGGTAGGCTGTTTCTGCCGCTTTGCTTCGCCTCCCACAAAACACCACACTGCCCGGCTTTCCTCCCTCTCAGGAAGCTGAAAGGAGGGCAGGGGCTGGAAGGAGGGCAGGGGGCAGTCCTGGGTGCAGCTGCTCCGATAAGGCCCAGGGGAGGGGACTCTGCCCTCCTCCCGCAGTGCTCTCCCGGCTCCACGCCCCGCAGCGTTTCACAACCGGCCCGGCCGTGCCAGATCCGCTTCCACCCCACGGCGGACTGGGGCATCCTTTGGAGCGGACGGCGCTGCCCCCACACCGCCCACGGCTGCGGGGAGCACGGACGGAGCATCCCCCGACGGAACGAGCGTCAAGGTACCAGCGGCACCACATCCTTCACCCCGCTCTGCTCTTTGCTCTCTCGGCAGACCCTCTCCCGCTCCGGGGCCGCCCCGCACACCGGGACCCCCGGGCAGCGCAGAGCCGCCCGGGGCGGTGCGGGATGGGGAGGGGAGCGGCGGCAGCCCCGCGGCCTCGCCCGTTCCGGTTCCGTCATGTGAACGGAAAAAGGAAGCGGGTGAGGCAGCGGCGACCCCGGTGGGCGGCGGGGCCGCGGGGGCGGAGGGTCCTGCCCGGGGCCGGAGGGCACCGGACCGGCCGCGGGGGCAGCGCGGGGGGAGCCGCCGCCTCGCAGCCACCCGTTGTCGCACCAGCCCCGCTGGCGCTCGGGGGTCCCCGGGGGGTTCCTCGGAGGGGTGACATCCCCCGGGGTTTCGCCCCCTCGCTGGGCATCGCTCGTTGCGGGGATGCGGGAAAAGACCCTGCCTGGAGCAGCCCTCGGTTCTTCCCCCGTGACGTTCCTGCGCGCCCACTAACGTTCGCTCCCCGAGCTCCTTGTCAAACTTTTCTAACTCGGGAATTATTTAAGGTTTCAGGGAGACGCGGCGGCTTTTTCCCCACACTGGAGCTGGGGCGGAGGTTGGGTGCGTGTCCGGGGCTCGTGGGGAGTGTCAGGGACTCTGTGCGGCAGGGAGGGCCCGCGGTGAGCTGGGTGTTGCTGTGTCTCCCCGCAGCCCTGAGCAGCCATGGAGAGGATTGAGAAGGTCGTGAGGCAGGCGAGAGCCGCCTTCAACTCGGGCCGGAGCCGCTCGCTGGAGTTCAGGATACAGCAGCTGAAGGCCCTGGAGCGGATGGTGAAGGAGAAGGAGAAGGAGATCCTGGCAGCCCTCCATGCGGATCTGCACAAGGTCTGGGTCAGGGAGTTTCTCCCATCAGCCCTGCATGGACAGCAGTCAGCCCGGAAGACAAAGTGGGAAGGCCAGGGGTTGCCTTTGCTGTGCCAGGTGGCTTTTGCTCTTGTCCCCCATGGCCCTGGCTCCCACTGTGGCCTGCCAAGGTCTACTGCCACCATTTCTATGAAGGAGGTAGTCTAAGGCAGTACTGCAAAGGCAGCCCCTGGCTGTCAAGTTTTGGCTTCTGTCTCACACCCCCCAGACTGAATGTGTTCTCCAGGGATCCTTTGGGGCAGCACTGCCAGTGTCAGAGACTTTCAACCAGCAGAATTTGCCTTTTGTCCCCACTGTGGGTGCGGGAGGTGGGTGCCTTTGCCATCCCCTCCCCAAGTTCCCTGTCACTGCAGGGTGGGCCCAACGCGTACAGCCATGAGATCCTGGGCGTGCTGGCGGAGCTGGCCCTGACCATGGAGAAGCTGCCGTCCTGGGCAGCCCCTCAGCCTGTGAAGAAGAACCTGATGACGATGCGGGACGAGGCCTACATCAACTTTGAGCCGCTGGGAGTGGTGCTGATCATCGGGGCCTGGAACTACCCCTTTGTCCTGGTCATGCATCCTCTGATTGGGGCCATTGCAGCAGGTGGGGCCCGTCCTTTGTGGGGCTGTGGGTGGGTGGTGGGGGAGAGGAGGGTGAGGGCTCAGAGGCCGTGCTGTGTCTGTCCTGTAGGCAATGCTGTGGTGGTGAAGCCGTCGGAAGTGAGCGAGAACACGGCTCAGCTGGTGGCTGATCTCCTCCCCCAGTACCTGGACCAGGTGAGTGTGACCCTGTGCCTGACATGACTGTCTTGATCTGTCCTACTTCCAAAGGGCTCCTCCAGGTTCAAGTCAAATCAGTAGCCTGCTCTCTTTAAATGAGCTTAAGCCGGAGGCACAGGAAGGATTGTATTACTCTTAAGAGTACAAGGGTGTGTTGACATATTCTTCCCATCTTTGCGTAACCTGGTATGCTCACATTACATAATGCTACTGCAGCCTGGTAGTTTTTTTGGCACTCGTGACCATGTGCAGAGGTGTGTGCATATTTCCCCCTGCTGTAGCTGCTCTTTTGGAGCCGTGCCAGGGATGCCCCTAGGTAAGCACAGGTTTGGTTGAATGCTGGCTGTGCCTGGCTCTTCCTGAGAACTGGGCACCATGGCAGTACATCCAGGGTTATCGTGTCCTGCTGATCCACACTTGTAGCAGAATGTGTTGTTTCTCCTTCACTTGCCTGACTGTTCTGACGTCCATTGCACTCTGTCACTGAGATAGTGTTGCTTTGACAGCACAGGAAGTTTCCTCCAGAGAGTTAGTGCATTCCCTAGGTGGGAGGTAAGAGCAGAGGAAGGAGACAGCCCGTGGGAGAGCCCGACAGTCCTTTGTGCCCTACGTCTTACTGTGCAGGAGCCTGACTCAGCCCTGGCTTCAGCCTCCATTTCATTAAGTCTGTGTGACACAAAGTGGGAGGTGAAACTTCATTTCAGGGGAAGGAGCAGAGCATGCCTCTGTTATCACTGTCTTTTGTCCAGATCCTGAAGTATCTCACAAATTATCCTACATTCTGCCACGTGCAGAGCTGCTGCCTTGATATGCGTGCTTTAAATCAAAGTAACTGTAAGGCTCTGGTCTGCCCCACAGGAGCTCTACCCCGTGGTCACTGGAGGAGTTCCTGAGACAACAGAGCTGCTCACCCAGAGGTTTGATCACATCCTCTACACTGGCAACACTGCAGTGGGCAAAATTGTGATGGCAGCAGCTGCCAAGCACCTGACACCCGTCACCCTGGAGCTGGGTGGGAAGAGCCCCTGCTACATCGACAAGGACTGTGACCTGGCCGTCGCCTGCAGGTCAGGCCATTGCACCCCCTCAGCAGTGGGGCAGGGGGCCATCTGTGGTCCAGTGTCCCCAGCTCAGGTGCTGTCAGCTGGGCTGTGGGATGTGGAAGGGCTGACAGTGAAGAAACCACCTCCCTTTCCCCTGCAGGCGAATAACATGGGGGAAGTACATGAACTGTGGGCAAACCTGCATCGCCCCAGACTACATCCTCTGTGACCCATCCATCCAGAGCCAGGTGGTGGAGAACATCAAGGCAACTCTGCTGGTAAGGAGGGAGTCCCTGATGCTGTGGGAATTGTCCCCATTGCAGCGCAGGTCTGAGTTCCTGGAGCTGTGGCTGTTGGCAGGTGTGTTGAGCACTTTGTTTCTGCTGTGCCCTTTGTCAGGAATT